ATGCACACAGCAACACGAGAGACGGCTCACACGCACGCACGCACGCACGACGACGCACGCAGCGCACGCACGCACGCACGCACGCCCGCCCGCACGAAACACACACACACACACACACACATTTATTTGTTTATTTATGTTTATTAATAGTGTGATATCGATTTTGTACTATGGATAGTTATTATTTAACATCTACACACACTGATTGTGCGATAACAGCTAGATTGCAGTAAAGGCATCAGTCATTAATGAAGCAATACTAATCTGTAGATGTTGCCATGGCTACAGTGATACTTACATTTTGGTGGCTTCTTGGGAACGTCCTCTTTCTAAAAGTAAAAGTGAAATGGTAATGTGAATGTACAATCATTCAAACCATCATCAATTCACAGAAAGCACGCAGTAACCTGACAAACTCACACCCGGTCGCCTGCACGCACCGCACGCCAGCGCACGCACGCACCACGCACCGCACGCGCCACCGACACGACCGACCGCACCACCAACCACGAGCAATACGCAACGCGCCCGACACCACGCATCGCGCCGCACGCACGGCACGAACAAACGAACCGACCGCACGCCGCACGCTCAACGCCGCATGAACAAACGAGTCGACGCCCGCACTCAGCACGCACGCAAAGTCGCCGCCACGCACGGCACGCACAGCATGAAACAAACGACCGCCGCGCACGCACGGCATACCCGCACTCACGCACGGACACGACGACAAAAGACCGCCCCAGGCACCACCGCACGCATGAACATAACGACCGCGCCGCACGCACGCATACCCGCACTTCCCACGCACGCACGGAACAAACGTCGCCCGCACGCACGCATTACCCGCACTCACTTCACGCCACAGCACGCCCGCTCGCACGCACACATACCCGCACGCACGCACGCGACGCATACCCGCATCACCACGCACCATCCATACCGACGCACGTCAGCGCACGCAGCGCACAGGCACAGCCATGGACGATGGATACCCGCACTCACGCACGCCGCCCCCCATTCGCACGCACGCACGCCGGCCCAGCCCGCAGCGCCGACAACGTCCGCCTGCCAACACACAGTCCGCGAGCACGCAACGCACGCCCGCACGCACACACGCACGCAAGCAGCCATACGCGTCCCGCCGCACGCACGCCACGCACAGCCGGCCTGCCCGCCGACGCACACACGTCCGCCCGCACGCACGCACGCACGGCCGGCCCGCCCGTCACGCACACACGCCGCCGCACGCACGGCACGCACCGCCGCCCGCTCGCCACGCACACAACGTTCCCGCACACACGCACGCCACGCCCGGCCCGCCTGCACGCACAGCCGGCTCGCCGCCACCGCACGCCGGCCGCCGCGCAACGCACGCAACGCCGGCCCAGCCGCACCACACACGTCGCCTGCAACGATCGCGTCCGCCAACGCACCGACGCAACGCCAACGCACGCAACGCACGCCCGGTCCGCGTTGCATGCACGCACACACGTGACACAGCAACAGCAAGACGATGACCACCAGATGGCGCCAGGCAGGACCGCGACAGCTACAGTTCTAAACGAGTGAACGTCTCTGAAGTGTGGTCAATGACAATAAGTTCACTTGGATCTCGTTGAATACTATGAAATTCATATTTATGCTTGTGTTGAAACTCAAAGAGAATGAACTAGCTATCGAAATTTCGATCTCCCTTCGGGAAATTTCGATAGTAAGTTGCATTTCTTGACTTAACACAAGATAAACTATGAATTCACACTTACGAGGCCGGTGCTTCGCTTGAGGACGCGCTATATCGTCTGCTGTCAATTGTCGAGTCGGTGACGCTGAGGTCATCCTCGGCCTTCTCAGCTTCCTCATCCTTCCTGCAGGTGCATATGATGGCGCGGAACTGTGGCGAGCCGAGTCCGAGGAAGAGAAACATGAAGAAGCCCTGCGAGCGAGCGAGCATGCGTTATATTACACACACGGGACACATGCACCACGCAGCGCACGTTCACGCAACGCACACACACGCAACACACACGGACATGTCGTTATATTACCTACACACACACCCGCATTGCACATGCACGCACGCACGCACGCACGCACGTCGCACGCACACACACGGACATGTCGTGTATATACACACACCACACATGCACGCACGGACACGCACGCACGCACGCACACAAGACCCAGACCGCCCACGCACACACACACGGACATTGTCATTATATTACACACACCAACACAGCGACAGCAGCACGCACGCACCGCACGCACGCAGCAAGCACGCAGCACGCACGCACACCGCACGCACCACACACACATACGGACACACACGACATGTCGTTTATATTACACACAACCACACATTCACGCACGCACGCACGCACGCCACGCACACACACAGGACAGTGTCGTTATATTTACAGCACACACAACATGCACGCAACGCACAGCACGCACGCACTGCAGCACGCACGCACGCACCGACGCACGCACACGACACACACACACACACAACATGGACTGTCGTTATGATTTACACACACCACACATGCAGCGCACGCAACAAGCACGGCACACAGGCACGCACGCAGCACACACACACACACACACATGGACAATGTCCTTTATATCACAACACCACACATGCACGCACGCACGCAGCGCCACGCACGCGCGAACACGGACATGTCGTTAATTACACACGAGCCACACATGCACGCACGGCACTGCAGCACGCACGACGCACGCACACGCACGCACACACACACACAGTCTGCGGTACACACACATGGATGTCGTTATATTATATCACACACCACACATGCACGCTACCACGCACGCACGCAACGCGCACGCACGCAACAACACACCACACATGGACATGTCGTTATATTACACACACGCATCACAATGGGCACGCACGCACGCACGCACGCACACAGCACACACACACACATACGCAACACACACGGACATGTCGTTATATTACACACACCCACACACGCACGCACGCACAGCACGGCACGCACGCACGGCACGCACGGCACGCAACCACAACGCACACGGACATGTCGTTATATTTACAACACACCACGCACAGCATGCACGCGCTGCCGGGCGCGACGCACGCACCACGATCGCACGCACACACACACACACACAACGGACATGTCGTTATATTAGCACCCACACACATGCATAGCATGCGCACGCACTAGCACACACACACACACGCACACACATAACGCACACACACGGACATGTGTTATATTACACACACCACACATGCACGCACGCAACGCAGGCCCTGGACACGCACGGAGGGTACCACGACACGCCCACGACACACACACACCACACACAGCGACGGAACATTCGCTCTTATTATTAGCAGCACACACGCACACGATGCAGCGCACGCACGCACGCACGCACACACGCACATGCTCACGCACACACACGCGGACTTCTGTCGTTATATTACACACACCAGCACACCGCACGCACGCACGCACGCACGCACGCACACGCACGGACAAATGTTCGTTATATACACCACACCACACATGCACGCACGCGAACGCACGCACGCAGGACGCACAGCAACGCAATCAATATTGATGGACTCCTGGCTATATCACACACACGGGCGTGCGTTTACATCACACACAGTAATGTTGTTAGCACACGCATGGGGGCGTTTTACTCACTCACACACTAGAGTCCCTTAATATAGAAATAATTGACTCTAGAAAGAAATCATGACGAGAAAGACTCTTGACGATAGAAATAAATGATGGAAATAATTTTATTATTATTATTATTGCATCTTTATTGCATGAATTCAGATACAAATACATGTACTGACGACAGTTTTTTTCATGGAGACTAATGGACTCCACGTTTTTTTAATGGACTCTATCGCACACACTAGAGGGGGGAAGGGGGGGGAGTAGATTCCCACTTTCCCAGCAAAAAAAACACTCCATATCCCAGTTCCCAGTAAAATAAAATCCCAATTCTCAGTTCCCAGGAAATTCAGTAGTTTAGGTTTTCAAACACTACATAAATACTAATAGTTTACATACTATTATTTATACGTGGGGTTCTACATAAATCTAATTAAGCGCAAAAAAAAAAATTTAAAAAAAAATTAAAATCAAAAATTAACGCAGAAATTGAGATCGCCACGATATTGAACAATTTTCTTCAGATCCAGAAGCAATTTTAGTTTGGTCTTTCCACGTACGAAGGACTTCTGTGCCCGAATTCACGAAAAATTTATATGACATTTCTCCAGTTCCGCACGGTAAATAAAATGGCCAATCCGCGCGTCCCGAAAAATACCCGTTCCCCCCCTACAGCGAGCTGTCACTTACTTGCAAGGAGTTGAATAGAACGTAAATGATGAGGAAGGCCGCCTCCTCGGTGAACGACATGATACCAAACAGCCACGGTACGCCAATGAGGGGCAGCAGGAACACACATCCCCGCAACATGCTCCTGCACACAGACAAGCGTCATCATGAATTCGTAATTTACCTCGTGTTAAATCCATGAAATTAATAACTTACTTTCGAAAAATTTTCGATCTCCCTTCGAGAAATTTTCATCAGAATGTGACGTCAGAAGATGACATCATGAAGTCGATAGAGGTAGCGATAGATCGTGATCGATAGAGGTAGCGATAGATCGTGATCGATAGAGGTAGCGATAGATCGTGATCGATAGAGTAGCGATAGATGCGTGATCGATAGAGGTAGCGATAGATCGTGATCGATAGAGTAGCGATAGATCGTGATCGATAGAGGTAACGATAGATCGTATCGATAGAGGTAGCGATAGATCGTGATCGATAGAGGTAACGATAGATCGTGATCGATAGAGGTGCGATAGACTCGTGATTCGATAGAGGTAGCGATAGATCGTGATCGTAGTAGCGATAGATCGTGATCGATAATAGGTACGCATAGATCGTGATCGGTAGATAGTAGCGATAGATCGTGATCGATAGAGGTAGCGATAGATCGTGATCGATAGAGGTAGCGATAGATCGTGATCGATAGAGGTAGCGATAGATCGTGATCGATAGAGGTAGCGATAGATCGTGATCGATAGAGGTAGCGATAGAACGTGATCGATAGAGGCTAGCGATAGAACGTGATCGATAGAGGTAGCGATAAATGACGTGTTGCGATAGAGAGTAAGCGAATAGATCGTGATCGATAGAGGTAGCGATAGAACGTGATCGATAGAGGTAGCGATAGATCGTGATCGATAGAAGTAGCGATAGATTGTGTTCGATAAAGGTAGCAATAGATAACGAGTCATCAGTTGAATGTAGCAGAAACAAGCAGAGAGATCTCTACTTCTTCTACTGTATATATACTGACCGAATTCATCATATTAAGGGGGAGAATAACGGAGCGGTAAGACGTGATAGAGAAGATGATGAGGAAAAATAGTAGAGATATGTAAGAGAGAGTAGAAGAAGGGATGAGAGTGCACTAATGTTCTCTCGTTTCCTCTTACCTCAGCTCGTACATGTGGTCCTTGTTTTTTATCGCTGGCAGGTTGACGTTACATATAGTGATAACCAACACTGTGAAGACAGCCTGTAATAAACACAATAAATCTCCATAAGCAACCGCTAGATGTCAGCACATTGCGTACATATAACATCAGACCACTGAGTTGTATAATATCAGGAGTCTATCAATATTGATAGACTCCTGCTAATATTATAATAACTGTTATTATATAGAGCTCAGTGTATCAGATAGCATCAATTATCATCTCTGTGGTGAGATTGGGATACGCACACCATAGCAACAGAGGCGTGATCCGTCGCCATGACGACGTGACTCACCAGCATGAGACAGAGTATGGGACCGACGAACACCCAGATGAAGCTGTTCTCGTAGGACACGAAGCAGCGGTGGTCGGAGCCGTAGCCGCCAGGATACGAGCTAACCGGTGAGGGACATATATAATGCAATTGTTATTACTACTTACGTTATGTCCCGCATGCGAATTTTCAGATATAGCGTGAGCGAGACATTGCTGACGAAAGAGGGCGCCACCGATCGACAAGGCGATCTCTTGACTGTAATTCTGCATAACACGTGACTTTGTGTTGTGAATTCCTGTGTAATGTTAGTTTCATTGTATGCATTTGGATTATTAGGATGGATATGATGATTATTGTTTGTTAAGTATCTTGTCGTTGAAAGGTTGTGTGTGAGACAGTGAAAAAGAGAGATGCCTAAGCTTAAGCCTATATTTATGTCTATTATTGTAATTTGATTATTGTTATTGTCAGTTTAATTTGTAAACTAAAATGTATACTTATATCGCACCGTGCGAATAGGAGAGCTGCAATACGGTTGTGACGCGTATATATGTATATGCATACATATGTGTGTGTGCGTGCGTGCGTGCGTACGTACGTACGTGTGCGTGCGTGTGCAAGTGCGCGCGCTTGTGTGTGCGTGTGCGCGTGTGCGCGCGCGCGTGCGTGTGTGCGTGCATGCGTGTGCGTGTGCGTGTGCAAGTGTGCGTGCGTGTGCAAGTGCGCGCGCTTGTGTGTGCGTGTGCGCGCGCGCGTGCGTGTGCGTGTGCAAGTGCGTGTGCGTGTGCAAGTGCGCGCGCGTGTGTGCGCAAGTGCGTGTGTGTGTGCGATCCCTATCGTCGTGGTTACAAATGCAATGCTAGTCATTTGCACATCTAGACGCGAATAGAACGACATGTTGCGCAGTTCTATGTATACGAAATAGTTGTGTATAACAAATATTGTGATATCAAATGCGTTCGTTGAGGAGTGTATGGATTTACACATAGATAAACTGTGTATTATTCTGAATAAATACTGCACCGTGATATGAATTTGAAATGATATACAAAGTGTGTGTTGTCTATTATTTAGTTCTTTAGTTCGTCCGTATTTCGATAGCGGTCCTATATACCCACCCATCTGTTAAAACAATACCAGGTAACTAGATAGTAACCTGATTTATTTTAGTATAAAAAATAAAGGCAGAAGGGAACTTAGGGGTTCATTAACAGAAACAAAATTAGTCTTAACATTAGTCTCAACGTTAACTTTTCCTCTTAGACCGTTGACGGAAACACTTTAAAGTAAAAACGGGAAATCCAAGCAAACATAAATTTACCTTTACGATATATATATTGAGTTTTTAGCGAGAGAGAGTGAGTGAGATTATATTATGATTGCTGAAAGTGCTGCTACAATGTAGCAAAGGACCATAATGTGCTTGTCATATTTGTTGTGTATTATTCTTGGTATAGTTATCTAAAATCTTGAATTTAAAAATGATTGTAATATAGAATGTACACGTGGATAATGACATAAATACATAAATATATACATACGCACATACATAAATTGGATGCTCAGGCTGGTACACTAGTTCAATCACATGTCTTAATTTGCATATCGTCTTTTTAAATTGCAAACTTCACAGTTTTCATGATTAAATTTTGTTTTATATGTATATATACAACCACACCTGCTGAGGAATGTTATATTGGATTGATCCAGGCCCCAGGTAACTTATCGTTTCCAAATAGGCCTATATATATACGAGGGTTATATTATATATATATAGCTCCATCAGAATCCTATGAATTCGGTTATTTGTAAGCTTCTTGTAATGAGTTAATCATTATAATTCATTCTCAAGCAGAGATGGGAAACTTCTTGGTGTTTCACGTATATACTAATTGATGTTTTCATAAGTACATAAATGAAAGAAATTCAAAGAATCTTAATTCATTTCCTCCAGATGTTATTATGTTCATATCAATCTGTTTTTCAGCGTGAACAGATAGCTTAGCTCCAGTTCAGCAGGGAGGGTTTAACATTTTGCATGTGGCCTATTTTTATATAATATATATGAGCTTTATCTAAGCTGAGATGAATAAAAAAAAGTTGTTTTAGGCGCCAATGCATCTTTTTCGCAGTTTTGCGAGTAGGCCTACACCAAATATGGCGCCTACTGCGCGATAAGTGCTGTACCAATCGGCTTCGCCTACTTATCTGGTATTGGCCCTTTGACGGCAACTTGATTTCAATATGTGGTACCACTTGTTCGGCGCTGAAAATGTGTATATTATCTGTGTTTTTAACGGTTTCTGAAGAGTCTCATCAACACGCAGTAATAGATTTTAATTTTTATACTTAGTTTGACAAATACGAAACTGAAGTCTGTACCATTGCCAAGAAAACAAATAAGATCCTACGTTAGCATGCTGGTGATTGTTGTTAATTGTTTAGGCCTACTCCGCTTGCGCTGGCCTTGACACCGTGACCCGTCACCAAACCAACACATTGTGACATTGTCATTGTGATTGTGCTCTAGTCTAGGCCTAGAGTAGAAGTTTTTATAATTTTGTACCATTCTGTGCGTAGCACTAGCAGCCTAGAAGTGCATGCAATAGCGTCGGATTTTATAAATTACTATGTTGGCACAATTTATTGGTTTAGTATCAAGTAGACCGAATAATTCTGTCCCATATAACCTTTTTTATATTTTGGTGAGGGTTATTGGGACAGAACGGGGTTCATTGAAATTTCATGAGATCGCATGAAAAATGCTAGATACAATAATGTAACCCAAACCCAAGAGGATAGGGTTACAAAGTCTCGCTATCTCTTTTCTGTGGAGGAATGCCGCAGTGAATCACTCGGGCCGGTTTGCTGTGCGTTTTTGATACTAGAACTTCCAAACTGGGTTTTTTTCAACACGAACCTTTCTCGCGCTATTCGGGAACTTACTATGTATTGCAATACTCTGTATTAAACTAATATAACCTGTTACAAAAATTCGAAGTGACGAGCGGCGAATTATACTGAGCGCAATTTCTGTTGACCTGTGGACGTACACTTTCCCAATGCGCATAGCGATCGGGCAAACTCAGCGCCCTCGCGATTGGTCGGTGAATGCCGCTCTTCAACCGAAGTACGTCACAGGTCACAGAAATGGCGCTCCAGTATATTCGCCGCTCGTCACTTCGAATTTTTGTAACAGGTTATATTAGTTTAATACAGAGTATTGCAATACATAGTAAGTTCCCGGAATAGCGGAGAAAGGTTCGTGTTGAGAATAAACCCAGTTTGGAAGTTTAGTATCTGAAACGCACCAGCAAACCGGCCCGAGTGATTCACTCGGGCATTCCTCCGCAGAAAAGAATAGCGAGACTTTGGTTAACCTATCCTCTTGGGTTTGGGTTACAATATGTATCTAGAAAAATGCATGCGCTGCTATATGCGGCCGTAGACGCCGGCTATTGGCGCGAAACAANAGAGAGAGAGAGAGAGAGAGAGAGAAAGAGAGAGAGAGCGAGTGAGAAACGACGAAGGAGCGACAAATAGGTTCCAATAGCGCACACAAGATGGTGCTACATGCTTACCCACGTTGGAGTCGTCTGCACAAGGATGGCGAAACTCGTCAGGTGGTCGACCTTGAAGTATGCGTGCGTTTCGTTACACCACACGACGCTGACGCCGTGCGTGCTCCATCCGGCCCAGCCTCCCTCGCTGTCGTCATGCCAACAAAGCACACAGCCACACTCAACAACAACACAGATTACTGTACACAGGTGGCCGCGACACCTCAGCAGCAGACAACAAGAAGTCACGAGGCAAGAAGTCACAGAAACTAGTGCGTGCGTGCGTGCGTGCGTGCGTGCGTGCGTGCGTGTGTGCGTGCATTCGCGTGTGTGTGTGTGCGTGCGTGTGTATGTGGGCATGTGTTTGTGTATGCGTGTGCGCATGTGTGGGCGCATGTGCGTACGTATATGTGAAAGAGAGAGAAAGAGACAGAGAAGGAGAGAGGTAGAAACAAAGACAGACAGAAAGACACGCAGAGAGACAGACAGAGAGACAGACAGAGAGACAGACAGAGAGACAAACAGAGAGACAGACAGAGAGACAAACAGAGAGACAGACAGAAAGACAGACAGAGAAACAAACAGAGAGACAAACAGAGAGACAGACAGACAGAGAGACAGAAAGACAGACAGAGAGACAGACAGAGAGACAAACAGAGAGACAGACAGAGAGACAGACAGAGAGACAGACAGAGAGACAGACAGAGAGACAAACAGAGAGACAGACAGAGAGAGAGACAGACAGAGAGACAGACAGAGAGACAGACAGAGAGACAGACAGAGAGACAGACAGAGAGACAGACAGAGAGAC